GACATACCTCCTTGCAAACAATCATGAATCTCGTTCTCGATGTTGAACAATTGAACCACGTTCACATGCGAGAATCGCTCCTGCAATTTCAGCCACATCTGCCTGGCGTTTTTGCAATTGATCACGCTGCTAACGATGTCTTTCGACATCGACCCTAGCAACTAAGTCTGGACCAGATTATTGCAGCGATTCCACTGCTGCCATTCATTGAGATTCTTTCCACTCGGCTCTTCAATCGAACCGTCTACAAGTCCGATTTTGTTCTTGACCATTAAGGCCATAGTCATGGATTGTTTCCATGTGCTGTACTTATCTTCGACCAAAGGTTGCGGCACAAGAATAGCACCGGGTTGGTCTGAATGATGAAGATATAGTTGATGATTGGGATTATCCCACTGGGTTCCTGAGGTCGTGCCTGATGGTTTGTCTTCTGCCATGGAGGACGGCTAGGGTTTTGTTGTGTTTGGTTTATTGCCCAGATCAATGCTGTAGTACCATGTGAGAAAATGATATTTAATTTATATTATTCAAGAGGCAAATCCTGCCAACTTATAGTTACAAGGAAGTCTAAATATGGTTCCTACGATCAAGCTAAATCATTCACAAATAAGGAAAGGAATTATTTACAATATAAACAAAGTCAACATTCCATTCTAAGCTCGATCTTCTTTAACAGTCACCACCAAATTAGGATGGATCAATCAGATGTGGAGAAGATTGCATTCAGGAGACATGAAAGGCATTATGTGTTCCTAGTTATGCCTTGTGGACTCACAAATGCACAGGCTACATTCCAGAATTTGATGAATGATGACATTTTTAGGCTTTACCTCGAGGTAGTTTATTCTGGTATTCTTTGATGATATCTTGGTATATAGCAAGTCTTGGGAAAATCATTTATCTCACTTATATAACATTTGAGCTGCTGAAATGTAATCAATTATTTGTGAAAAAGAAGTGGCCAAAGTAAAGTGAAGTATCTGGGACATACTGTTTCCAGGAAGGGAGTAGTTGCTGATCCATCAAAGCTTCAAGCTATAATTGATTGGTCTGTACCTGCTAATGTGAAGGTTTTGAGAAGATTCTTGGGACTCACTAGATATTACATGAAGTTGTTCCTGGCTATGGCAAAATATGTCAACCTACAAGTTGACTAAGAAAGATGGGTTTCAGTTGTCTCACGGTGCTAAAGAAGCTTTCCAGCAGCTCAAACAAGTCATGGCATCACCACAAGTCTTGGCTCTGCCAGATTTTACATTACGATTTGAGCTTGAGTATGATGCCTCAGGCAATGGAATTGTTGCAGTATTACAACAGAAAAGGCCAATTGCTTTTACCAGTCAAGATTTGGGTCCTAGGAATCAATCATTGTCTTGTGAAAGAGAACTCATTGCTATTGTGCATGCAGTCAAGAAATGGCAGAATTATTTGCAAGGGTGCCATTTTATGATTAAACCAACCATAATAGTTTCCAGTATTTGCTCAATCACAGGGCACACACTCTATTCAGCAAAAATAGGTGGCAAAACTATTGGGGTACGACTATGAGAGTCAATACAAACATGGATGCATTGTCTAGGGTATCATGATCAAGTCAACCACCTGCCACTTGAAACTTCTTGTATCCAAATGGAGTGCACATCCATTTCTTATCCTTATTTTGGATGGTTGGATGAACTTAGAAGACACAATGAACCAGATGAATGGATAGTGGAGAAAAAAAGGATGTACAAAAAGGAAAATGCAACTGGAGTTCAATTGTTGGTACATCCCCCCGCCCCCCAGGGGGGGTGGTGGCGGGCGTAATTATATGAACTGTGATTGCCACCGAGCCTATAGACTTGTAACTAAACTGAGAATTAAAGTGATTGGCTGTATGATTTATAAGTCAAGTGGATAAATGATTCATTATCAATTCGTGTTGAAGTCTAATTACACGCACGCAAAGCCCTTACATTAGTAAAACACACTCCACCTTCAATAGCTAGGTAGCAAGTCACCTTAAAGGATCTAATGGCATAAACAAATAGGAAAATGGCATACACATAATATAGGAGAATGATAAACACACCTTTGTTTTAGTCTCTCACACACCCGTATTTAATCTTGTCACTTGTTTACATTTGATTTGTTATCCAAATAAAAAGAGTATGAAGAGTTAAAACTAGTGTAAAAATCATTTCCCATAATTTTAATATTAAAGTCAGAGCCTAGAACTTCCAACTGCAAAAGCTTCACACAACTCTTTACTAAAAAGGTTTACAAGCAATCGATCTTTTTTGAATAATGGTATGAAAAATGCTAGGTAGATCAAATTTTTAGACCATCTTTTATATTCATATGATGTGGCGGTTGATGATAGAACTCTTTTTTAATGATTTGAAAAAAAAAGTTCAACTATCAACCGCCACATCATGTGTTTAGAGTTCTACAAAAAAATGCTCTAAAAATAGTATATGGGTATAGCCACTGTCTGTTTAATATTTATGCATGAACTCAATTGTTACCATGCAGGGATACACCTGAAGATATAACCTGAAAACATTAAATCCTTTATAAAACCAATCAATAATATCATGCATCACCATGTGACTGTGATCAGGCGGTTCCCGTCAACTCCAAGCCCCGCAGACACGATCTCAGCCCTTAACTTTAAAATCAAAGACTTGGTTTCCAAGGGATTATATGACCAAACCCTTCATCTATACAAACTACAACTGCATCCCCATGGCCTTCATGCAAACAACTCCATTCTTCCTTCAATCATTAAAGCTTGCTCCTACGCAATGTCCCGCCACTTCGGCCTTCAACTTCACTGCATCGCTCTCAAGTCGGGCTCCGACTCAGACCCGGTCGTATCCAATTCTCTCATCTCCATGTACGCCAAATTTACAACTGTTGAAGCAGCACGTCAGGTGTTTGATGAAATGCCTGAAAGAGACACCATCACCTGGAATTCCATGATAAATTGCTATTTGCAAAATGGGCATCTTGAAAAAGGTCTGCAAGTGCTTAAGCAAATGCATTTTTATGGTTTTGTACCGAAAGCAGAGTTGATTGCCGGCATCATGTCAGTTTGCGCGAGGTCAGGAGAGTTAAGACGACTGGGCAGAGAGATTCACGGGCTCGTTGTTGTTCATGGCATGATTAAGGAGTCAGTGTTCTTGTCGACGGCTCTGGTTGATTTGTATATGAGGTTTCGCGACTTGTCGATGGCTTTACATGTATTTTATCATATGGAAGTTAAAAATGAAGTTTCTTGGACTGCCTTAGTTTCGGGATGCATTGCTAATCACAATTATGGCACGGCCCTGGGTTGCTTCCGGGCAATGCAGTTTGAAGGCCTGAAACCCAACAGAGTGACTGTGCTTGCCATTTTACCAGCTTGTGCCGAGTTGGGACTTGTAGAGCATGGGAAAGAGATTCATGCATATATCCTTCGTCATGGGTTCGATTCAGATAATCATTGCTCAGCAGCTCTCATACACATGTATTGCAAATGTGGGAAAGTTTTGCATTCTGCCAAGTTAATTTTCGAGAGGGAAGCTGTTAAAGATGTTGTGATATGGAGCTCGATTATTGGGAGCTATTCTCAATGCAGGGATTACACGAAATCTCTGAAACTCTTCAGCCAAATGCGAGCTGAAGGAATTGAACCCAACTCTGTAACTGTATTGGCGATCATTTCTGTCTGCGCTTCCCTGTCTTCACTAATCCTTGGCTGTGGAGTCCATGGCTATGTCTTAAAATCTGGGTTAAGTTTTGACACTTTCATTGGGAATGCACTCATCAATATGTATGCAAAGTGTGGTTGTCTCAAGGATTCACATCAGGTTTTCAAGGAGATGCCGAGCAAAGATTCTGTTTCATGGAGCGCACTGATTGGCAGTTATGGCCTTCATGGGGATTCCGAGAAAGCTCTGCAACTCTTTGATGAGATGCAAGAGAGAGGGGTGGAGCCTGATGCAGTTACTTTCCTCTCTGTTTTATCTGCTTGCAACCATGCTGGCCTAGTGGAAGAAGGGAATAAGATCTTTAAGCGTCTGACAGAAGGTAATAAAATAGAATTAAGCGCGGAGCACTATGCTTGCTTTATCGATCTTCTTGGAAGGACGGGAAAGCTTGAAGATGCTTATGAGCTAGTGAGATCAATGCCCATGACACCAAGTACTAGAATTTGGACTTCTTTGGTTACAGCTTGCAAGATTCATGGAAGATTAGACAAGGCAGGATTTTTAGCACATGAGCTTGTTACCTTGGAGCCTGAGAATGCTGCCCACTATACCTTACTGAGCACGGTTCATGCTGAAACCGGAAACTGGCTTGGCGTGGAAGAGGTGAGGAGAGCCATGAGAATACAAGGATTAAGGAAAGGCTACGGATTCAGCCGGATTTAGCCAGAAAACAAAAAGGGTTGTGCCATAGTACTCATCATCGACCATGCAAACGCTCAATTATCAACTCCAGGGTTGTAGACTCGTAATCGAAAAGAAGAAAGAAAAGGTTGTAGACTCCATGAGTTGAGTTTTTCTAGCCTCTGGTTTCTTTGCGAGAGTGAATTCTTATGTCTTATGTGGATTTCAATGAGTTGATAAACACTTGTAAACCAATGCTAAATGCAAGAGCCAAAAACTAGTGCTCCATTCGTCAAATCAAAACAATCGTATGCTTCTACCAAACGCAAAAGGGTAGAGAGTAAGCGGATTATCTATAGATTAGACAAGCATCTCCAACAGCTCCTTTTGGTCAAATTTCATGCATATTTGGCAATGCTTTCAGAAAGTTTAAGAACTTTCTGATATCCAAAAATGTTTCCAGTAGCGTTTGGGCATACAACAAACAAAAGCACTTGCAGCGATTAGCGTATGGATTTTAATAAGAATTTCAGCGTGGTTCTATCAAAAGTGGTTATGAGGAGAATTACTTCCCGAAAACATTCCACTTAGTGTCAGCTAGAAGGACAAACGCACATCTCAAGCAATTCCTTATCCAAACAAATATCATCTCAAGCATCATATCATTTATTCATGTACCAACACTTGAAAAGAAAAGCCAATTCATTAAAAACACACAACAGTTCAAAAAACAAGCAAATATCCTTCTTAGGAATGGGGAAAGGGGAAGGGAATCTGTCTAGATCAAAAAACCAAGGTAGGGACGCGGTGCAACGTGACTATTTTGGAGTGTTATTAACAAATCCCAAAGTTTATGGAATGGAAAGGGAAAACAGCACAACTGATATAGTCATTATAATACGGCAATTGACAAAGACTCTTAAGATTACATTACTGACAGCATCTGACCAGACTTCATATATGAAAACACACGCGCGCGCGCGCACGCACACACATGCGCATAAATACCTAATAAAACTCAGCTATCCAACCTGTGTCTAGCATGAGGAAATCATCCAGTTGTAAGTTCTCTGGTGAAGTAACAGCTGCTCCAGTAGCACAGCTAGGGGCGAATGAACCACAATCCACCTCATAATCAGTTGCCATACCAGTAGAAATCAGTAAATTTGGAGAAGCTGGTTTATCTGACGGTACCTGGGTTATCATCGTAGACGACACAAGAGTAGAGACTGATACATCAGCTGAAGAAAAATATGTTGCAATAGCCTGGATATCCTTCATCTTCACGTGAACTGCAGAACTTGTAGGGGGCACTGGCCTTTTATTTTCTGGAAAATTGAACTCTGCACTAGCACCATGAATGCAATACACAGCAGCATCGTAGGCTCGAGCTGCCTGGTCTAGGGCATCATAAGTGCCGAACCATATCTTGATCCCGGATTTTGGAAGCCTGATTTCGGAAACCCATCTACCCCAAGCCCTCATTCGAACACCCTTATGGCGTCCTGGGGCTCTCTGTCGCGGAACCTTTTTCAAAGTAGAGGTTCTCCCCATATCCATTGGAAAGCTGACTCACAAAGAGAAAGTCTCAAGATAGTGGAAGAGTAGGATATGCAAAGAACTACTGTAGGAAGCCATTTATGGAAGGAAGATAATGGATGTGAATAAGATCCAAAATGAGGAGCATGCATTGAGTGCAGGTGGAAATGCCATGATGGTGGCACGTGATATAACAAGATGTACGCGGCCGAAGAGATATCGTCACGTGGGCGAGTTTGCTATAGACATGAAGCTTTCAAATGCATAGAACCGCAGTTGGCAAGACACGAAACAAAGCACTTGTTATGTTTAAGCCACTTTTCTAAAGGAGATATACATGCATCAACGCATATGCACACCAACACTCATACATACATACATACATACGTATATATATAGACACACACATTATATACGTACATAAATACATATGTAAATAGACTTTGTAGAAATTAACGAAACATCTCCAAAATAATACAAAGCTCAATGATCAAAATGATATCCATGAGTAAGCAATATAGATACCTTAGTTAATGAAACATTGAAACTATAGGCTTTATTCAAAGTATCTGATGAGAAAATTCAGTAGAGAATTGGACATATAAATCTCTCCTAATTAGGTTTTAAAGTATAAAAAGTGTATTTGGCCATACAAGCAACGTATTTTGAAGAAATTACAAGAAGCTGCTCTCGCTTAGCCTAACGTCATGTCAGCCTCTCAGATGTCCTGCGAAAAAGTGGTCAAGTGCTTAATACTCACTTGTAGAGACGTTGTGCTAGTTGGCTCGGGTTATAACTTATAACGCATCACGTTGCTAATTTGCTTAAAATTGAATCCTTACTGAACACACTTGTAACTTGTAAAATTTAAGGATTGATTTGGAAGTCAAATAATAATAAGAAGCAAAGAGGATAAGGCAAAAAGTTGAGGGGGCAAATATATAATAACCCAAAATATTTATTACTACGATATTAGCCCAATAAAATAAAAGAATAACTAAACCAACCGTTATCCTCTTTCCTTCCCTGATGTGTGAAGAGTGAAGAAGCTCTTTATCCACCAAGTAGTTTTGATGTTCACGTTTGAATTCTTCAATTTTTGCTTTGAGGAGCTGAAAGATGTGGGCTTACTATGTTAATCATGTCCTCCCCCGCCGTCTTCTGCAAAACCTTTATCTTTGTTAACCCCAAGCTCAGGCTGCTCAGCCGCAACTCCTTCATTCTGCACAGAAATTGGTCGACGGCACTGGTGGTTGATACAAGGCGGTGGAGGTCTGCCGCTGCGGGGCACATTCCAAATGCTGGTGGCAAAAGGAAAAAGAAAAGGACTTGGTGGCAAACATTCTTTTTCGACGAAGACGGGAATTGGCTTGGTTTGAAGGAGGACGACATGCTGACGGCGGAGGAGGAGGACTTGGATGGATCCTCCGCAGCCGCCGCCATGGAAAAAGGTGAAGAAGCCGAGAAATTTGAGGCGTGGAAGACAAGGGCAGAAGCAATCGTGGAGCTGAGGGAAGCACAGCAGGATTTGACCAACGAGGAGAACCGCAAGTGGGAGGATTGGCTTGTGGATTCTAATTCTAAATCTACTTCCTTCTGGGAAGCATCTGTACAGTCGGATCCTGCTCAAGAAAGGGGATTGCTTTACTCTCTCAGCAATTTCGTCCTCGGAAAGGAAGAAGATGATGATGAGGACATGCTTTATGAAGACCGTGTTTTTCGCTATGCCTCACTCAATTCGGTAACTAGAACTAGTACAAAAACAATGTACATTTTCTTTGCTTTGAGTTGAGTGTGTGGTTTTGTTTATGTGATTGTGTCAACTGTTAAGCCACATTCAATAATTAATAATTCTGGTGAAAAAAACTTTTCGTTGATCGTATATAAGAGAGCAATTGCAATATTCTAATATATCTATTGCATTGGTGTTTCTGTTTTGGATGTTATTACGACACGCAAGAGAGTTACATTACATGGCTTGAGTTGTTATTTTCTGTCAGCCAGCCTGCATTTTTCCCATTAGAAATACTAATATTGTGTAATTCATGTCATCTTCTTCTATTGTTAAAGGTCCTTTAGCAATACTAATCTTGTGCTAATTCATGGTTCGATCTTCTTCTATTGTTAAAGGACTGATTGCGCTAATTATAAGCCACGTTCATCCTTTTTACAGGCTAAATTTTTGGCAGTATTAATAATCATACCCTGGACCTTGGATTTTGTGGTTCACGACTATGTTCTGATGCCCTTTTTAGACAGGTAACCATTATCTCTTTGCTTATCAGATATATAAATTAATAAACACACACATTTCAAAAGAGGGTGGTTTACGGTGTGTGCATGTTGCCTTGTTGAATTTCCAAGTAAACGCCTTTAAATATCAATATCCAATCCTGTGTCTTTGGAATTTAAAACTACTTTCCATATATATATATATATTAACTTCATTATGCATTTCCTTCATTCCACCATTCCTAAAGGATAGCTTAAGGAAATTATTCAACAAACTTCCAGGGTATATTGATGCCAGAAAAGAAGACTGCATCAGAAACGTATTTTGAAATAAGTGGCTGCCATAAATTTTCTTCTTTTAAAGAAGGGCATGTGTGCATAGTGCAACTGAGTGGTTTAGACTATAGAATTTCACATACTTCTCTAAATTTAACTTCTCTACTCCTCCTGGACCTCCTTAACTTGGAACTTTCCTGTTGGGTAGGTCAATTTCCTAAGGAAACATTTGATGCCTCTGGAGTTAGGTTGGTTCTATTTTGCAAGCTTTAAATTTCAGTAATCATGTCAAAAAATTGACTTAGTTTTGAACCACCATAGTTAGGCTGTTTGTATTGTAATATGCGTACATACGTACAGACATACATACATAGTCTTTGTTGCATTGGACCTGGTATTAACTTCATTTTTAACCATTACTTTTGTACCTCTAAAATTATGAACTAATGGATCGAGCACCCACTTGCTTGGGAACAGATATGTGAAGACCGTACCACTTGCAGCACAGTTGCTTGATGTCAGAAGAAATCAAAAGCTTCAAATGATTGATGAATTAAAAATGGAGAGAGCAAGATTTCATCTTGAGATGGAGATTGGTAAATCTCCACCGCTTTCTGATGACGAGGTTTGGTGGGAGTTGCGGCATAAAGCGTAAGATTGCCACTCTTTGGTTCTCCTCTGGAAAGAGCCTCCATAACATTATTGTTTTGGTCTTTAATATGTATCCAATTTTTCATTAGGTTCACAAAATCACTATTGAGTAGAGTGGGTAAATTACAATGAATTATTCTATAAACGAGCTAAAATTAGTCACACATGCCAAGACTTGAGCAGTATAGTTCATGACTTGTGACCCTAGAACATTTTACCACATAAACAGTCAAACATGTAGAACTTATTAGTTAGATCATTACATCAATGACTAGTTCCAATGTGTAAACCTCCATAAGTCATAACTGTATTCAGGATGCTGAAAGCCTTTAAATTGGATAAAAAGTTAAGAGTGAAGATTTAACCCAGGACAGTTATAATCTATCTTACGTAATAAAAAAGTAGTTAGGAATTCAACATGTAGTCTAAGTAATGCCACTACATGAGTTCTAAGATAGCAGAACGACTATCCTTCAGAGAAACTGTACCTGCATTCTGAGTGGGGTTTACAATAAGGTACAAGGTAGAGGAGGTGACACACTAACATATGGAAGAACCGTACAGAGTATGACCAAAACTGGAACTTTAGAAGTTCAAATTAGAGGGCTGGGAAAGATATGGATGTATGCTTGCAGAAAAAACGAAGGAAAAAAATCTGAACTCTTGTAACATAGAGTGAAAAGACAGGGAGAATCGTACGAGGAAGGAAGAAAGAAAGAAAGGCATTTTTTATTAAAATGAATGCGTTATCAGTTGTACAACTAATGTGTAAGTAATCCAAAACATAACCAGCTAACTCTTTGAACCTATAAACACATGGCACCTGTCATTAGAAAACAGATTTTCTTTTAGCTGGAATTTTTTTCATTTAAGGTTCTCTTGTATATGATTATGATGCTATGGTGTAAATTTATAGCTGGACTTTTTCTCATTGCACACTTGGACATTTGGATCTTCATAACAAAAATATCTCTCATTTCAGAGATCCGTAACTCTAAAAGGTTATCAAGTATTCAAAAAGTACGGGTATAACTGTAACAGAAGACTTGGCCCAAAACCGAGCACAGTGGCGTTTTAGGATTCATACAGCCGACCTCGCTTAGTGGGATAAGGCTTTGTTGTTATTGTTGTGGTTGTTGGCTAATAAATTTTCCTATTTGAATGATTTCATATTTTTAATTACAGTGTAATGTGCCAGAAATGTTGAAAGTGATTATTATTTCTTGAGATAATATTGGAAAGTTCCCTTTATGTTTTAATCTTCTTAAGCTAGATTTTGGACTTTAGTTTCAGTGATGAATGTCATCCAAATTACTTTTCTTATGGCTTCAACAGATTAGAGCTGAGAGATGAATGGAGATTAGAGAATCGTAAAGCATTTGCCAACATATGGTCAGATATGATATTCGGGATCTCATTATTCATTCTTTTATACAGCAATCAGAGTAAAGTGAGTTACTATTACTTTGTTTATGTGGTGTACTTTCATGTATGAAATCTTTCCTCATTATGATCATAATAGCATTGTCTAAAACTGAATGTCCTTGGAATGTTACAGTTAACAACTCCATTTGTCTTGCATAAATAGTAGTATGATCAGTTATTGCATTATTAGGTATGAGTGTTTGTTTTTCTTAGCCTTTTCTCAATTGTCAATTTGTGATCCATGCGGTCTGTTTTGGTCTATTTATCATCTATTTGGTTAGGATGATGAATATGCACCCTCATTGCTTTCAGAATACTCGTCAAAAAAATAGTGAAATTGTGATGCCTTTTATCTGTTCAGGATTATGCTATCAATATCAAAGTAAATATTGCCAGAAATAAATCTTTAGTAGGTCAAGACTATAAAACATTTGATGTCGAGATTGGAGTGGTGACATAAGAAGCAACACATATTAGGTCTAAGTAATTGGAATGAAGCAGATAAAGTTAGGAAAGTACGAAAGCTATATCATTTCCTATCAGAGGTGAGCTTTTAGAGTTTATGATTAATATTCATAGATTTGGAGTTCACGTTGGTTCATTACTTTATTCTCATCAAGTCCTATACTATAATCTCAACAATAGTCTTGCTTTGTATAGACATAAATTCCAGTCATCAATATTTGTTACGTAAAAGTAAGAGAGAATTTTCCCAGCTATTCGTTGGAGATCATGTTGTTTGATTATCAGTTCGGCAATGAAATTATAGCTTAACTTCATGGAGTAACCATGAAGATATACTTTGTAGTTACTGTCACAAGGAGCTTACTTGTTTTCATGGAGACAATTTTGTTTCTGATTTAAGATGTCTGCACAGGTATGAACTTTAGCCTAAGAACACTGCACTAAGTCTTGTTAAATCGATTGTATTCCGTTTTTTATTTGTTATCTTCCTTTTGCAGGTAGCATTGGTGAAGTTTACTGGTTATAAGATAATAAATAATATTTCAGATACCGGGAAGGCATTTCTAATTATACTTATCACAGACATTTTTTTAGGGTAATGAACTGTTCTTTTGTTTGGTACTGTGTTTTTTTCTGTTACCATATTCAGTATACAATACAGTGGCTATTCATATTTGCTTACAACTATGGAAAGCTATAATATTAAAGACACATACACATATATGGAATTTTCTCTTGCCAGATAGCTTAGTATGTTATATTGCTAGACTGTTAATATGGACCACTGATTAGGCGGGCTCTTGGGATAGTGTAGTCCAGATTCACAGTCTCATGACCTAAGTTATCCAGTTATGTGGTAAGAGGTTATCACCCCATAAATGTATATATACAGACAGGCACACACACACACATTATATATATATATATATATATAATGTGTTTGTGTATATATTATTGCATGTCAAGGATGTAGAGTGTCCCTTAGGGAAGCTTTCGGGATGATGGTATATATAATTTCATATTTGAATGCCATCTTTTAGTTCCAATTTCTTCAGTTTCATTTCTGTGATCGCCATTTTACTCATCCTTGGGTGACAAATATGTCTGCATATCAAACCTTTCTGATTGCGATATACAACTGCATACCTGCAGGTATCATTCTGAGTCTGGTTGGCAAACATTGTCAGAAATTTTTGTTGAGCATTATGGGCTTGAGGTTGATCAGTCTGCTGTAACCATTTTCATTTGCCTAATTCCAGTTATCATGGATGCATGTGTCAAACTATGGGTATGTTTTACTCTACTGGATAGTAATTTCAGTTTCCGCAAAAGTTACAATTTTCATGGCTGTGCTTACCAAGACTTGTGAAATGGTATAGACTTGGATCTCCTCTATTGTCTTTCCACTCAAAGCTATCTACATGCTTACATATTAACTTCCAATTTCTAAGTACCAAAACTAGTTCTCCAGGCTGCAATGCTTTGTTCATTTCACTCTGGCTGTGCCTTACGGATGTGTTAGAAATATTTATGAACATACACAGTGATATTCATTTTCGTACACACTTTACTGCTTGTATATCTTTGCAATTTGATAGCATTGTTAAATGTTCGTCTACCATTGTATTTCTGTGCAGCTGTTTAAATTCCTTCCAAGATTATCCCCAAAGGTGACAAACATATTCCAGGAAATGAAGCGTCACTAGTAAAATTCTTTATCTGGATTATCTCTGGCATCTTAAGAGAATTCGGAGCAAGGTAGCATGTACCAGTAAGATTACTTTTTTTTTTTTTTTTTTTTTTCCCTCCTGTCCTTGATTTATCGTATATACAGGTTTTGGACATTGTAGTTGTTGGGATATCATTCATTCATACCTATAAATGATAAATGTGGTATAAAAACAGCTGAAGATGTTGATACATAGTACGTACAATCAAATCTACATATTTGCTTCAGTTTTGAAATTTGTATATGTTAGTAACTGGCATGCGGAGCAAGGCTCGGGCCAAGCAGAATAGGAGAGAATTCAACTCAACAGTTGTCTACTTCAATCTACAAGGAAGGAATTGCTTGTAGATTGAATTCAACTAATACAAAAGCAATTCTTGTATTTTGGGATTGTTGTGAAACAGACCAGGATTTTGCTTTCAATACTTTTACTTCCATCCTGTAAGGGAAGGACCATTTTACCTTTATGAAAAGAAAGCTTAATTATTTCGTTTTCGAGAATGCTCACTCTCACTGGGTCAGGTCAGGTTAGTTCAGGTCAGTTCAGGAAGCCAGTTGGGCCTTCAATGACTAAAATGGCATGCTTAATCAAGGCCATTCACCAAACCACGTCAAATGTCAGGCAGGGATGCTGCAAACGCGACATTCACCGACCACGTCAAAAGATCAGGCCTTGCTTTTGCACTCATTGTTGAAGAGCCTTCGTGAAGAGGAATTCATCCGTCCGCTAGGAGTGGGCAGATGTAAGGTACTCAACGGGACATGAACAAGAAATAAATTGAAGGAAAGAAAGAGAGCCTTCTATCTCGGCAAGTAAACTCTATCCGTAACTAAGGAGATGCGGATTCCTTGCCCAAACAACTGAGTATGGTGTGGGTTGGGCGAATGTATCAGCGTAAGTTGTTGATGGATGTATATTTGCGCCCAGCCAGTCAACTAGTAGACTCCCAAGTGCGGATCACGTGCCCCATGAAGCCACACGCACACGAGTAATACATCTCCAAGCCCTACCTACCATCGCCCCACATTCTATATATTGGGTTATCTCCGAATCCGAGCCCTACCCACCACGTATCCCCCCATTTTTTTGTGAGAGAAATGACAGACCAATGTATATGACATGTCGAAATGTTTCAAATGTTGGGCTAATGATTAGTTAAAATAAGAGATTATATTCTTTTTTTTCTTTTTTAACAAATGATATCATGTGCATTAAGAGATCATGCTTTTTCTATATTTTTGCTAATGCATTTTTTGCTCACTCCTTTCTAAGTTCGCCCTCTTAAATTAAGTTTGGATTCCCTTCAAGTAAATTATTATGTGATTGAAATATAAATGGCATTTACAACATAAATAATCATATGAGAAGTATAGTACAACATTGTAAGTTTGTGAAAAAAAAGTAAGTGGGAGTAAATTATATGGAAAATAATTTTTGTAGACATTTTTCTTATTCTATACGCTTCTTTATTTAATTCTATTCTAAACCAGATCAACAAACCAAAATTATGTTAGAAAGAAAAATAGTATGCAGATATTACCTTCTAAATATAATTAGCCCGTGATTAAATCATAAACTAAACGAGCCTAAACCAATTATCCCACCAAAATTCAAAAGGACCGCCTTAATCGGAAAGCTAAATTAATATAAAATTGATTAATTACAACACCCAAATGAAATCGTCCAGTCCTCTTTCTCTCCTGTCACAAAACCTAAAACCCTCCCTTATTATTTTTCCCTCTTTTCAAAACACCAAAAACCCCTCTCTGTTTCTATCTCCCCTCCAACATTTTCTCTTTGTTTTGAAATTTTCCTTTCGTCGGAGCTGCTTCTCTTCTCATAGATCCCTATCTTAGATATATGGACAAGCATCAAGGCGACCAAGATCGGATCGTCTCCACTGGTATCTCTTGTTTTTTCCAGTTTTTGTTTTTTGGGTGGAAATGTTTGATGTTCTGTGTCTACTTGTGTTTGGTTGTTTGTTGATATTCAGTAAGAATTTCTGGGTCGGTGTTATTTTCTGTCATTCACGTTGATTTTGGTATTTTCCAGATTAGTTTGATTTAATGAGAATTCTTTGTTGGTTGATTTAATGAGAATTCTTTGTTGGTCCGCTGCCAAGTATGGTTTGCGAAATGCTTATATTTCAGGTCACTATTCTCGAAAAATTTATGGTGTTTCCTGTGTTTTGGTTGAATTCTTGATCCCCAAACCCTAAGATAGGGTTGTTTTGTTCCATGGTGATGTTTTTGTTGTTTCTGTGCTTCTATTGTTCATCTGTTATACTGAACATCTGCAATTCCGGGTGCAGGAGAGAGACCTGTTAAGTCAGATATCTTGAAAGAGCAGGTAGTTGGTTGTATATTCATTAAGAATGTTGTATCTGTTTATTTATTCCTATGTATTCAAAGGCTTGGGTAGCTGTATTTTATTGATTTTGTAATTTATATTCAGCCACTTTTGCCCGAAGATGAAAGAATAGTTTCAGCGAATCCTTCTCCAGCTGCAGTCATCATAGGGCCTTCAGGCGATGTTACACAACAACCCAAGTCTTCAGATGTTAGTGGAGCACGAAGCACCCCCCATCTGCTTAATTTGTATTCATCTCATGAACGGAACATTTATGGTGGTTAGTTTGTTCACCTTTTTCTGCTGTCTTTGCTTTAGGAACATCAGGATCAGCTAAATAGTAGTGGTTTGACGTTAGCTATAGTCTGATTCCCATAAACCCTCAAGTGTTGTGACAGACATTGCACTTGCACGTTAAGTCAAATTCTGAACTTTTGTTTCTTTCTCCAGGAGTTCATGATGTAGTGGTTTGATGTTAGCTGTAGTTTGATTCATGTGAACTCTTAGTGTTGCTTCTTTCTCTGTGGGATTTCATGAACTATGTTTTAAATGTCATGATTCTTTTTGGTGTTCCCCATAAGAAATAAAAGCTCTTGGTAATAATGACAATGTTCTGCCGCTCTTCTCATAGCATATAATTAAAGTTGTAAGGATTCAGATTTCAAAGTTCCGTCTGTTTTCAGATTATGGCAATAACACTGGTACTTGGGATGGATATTCTCCATATAATGCTGATGGAATGCATGTTTTATCACCAGTGAGTATACCTTCACTTGTGCAATTCTTCTGAATCTCTGATTTCCCTTTGAGCCAAACTTACCTGTGGTTTATTTTTCTGTTGTCTTTTCAGGTCATCTACAATGATAATCCCTCTCTTCTGTTTCACTCTGGTTATGGCTTCAATCCCGAAATTGCATATGGACAGTATTCACCAGTCGCTACTCCTTTGCCTTCTGTAATGGTAGATGGCCAACTTTATTCTACACAACAGGTCCCTTTCTCTCCATCTTACTACGCCCAGCCATCTGAGTTGATGACATCAGAAAGTAGTAGCACTAGCACTGACAACATGGGCTATGGGCCAGGATCAGGTTACATGGTAAATTATGGATCATTTAGTGGAGATCTGTCCGGACATCTTGGTTCTAGTCCTTTAGCATCGGCAACAATTTATTCTCCACCAACGGGCATTTTTGGGTCATTCGAACACAATGCTGGGCAGGTTTGTTTTCTTTTTAACTTCATTATATTAATTCCTTGATAAAGAGTTGTTCGTAGACTGGAAGAACTGCTATAGTGCTACTAGTACTGTTGTTAGAAATCAAAAAACACATACAACTTTGGTCATACTTATATGTTAAGTATAGGAGGCATGCTTTTATGTTATGGTCAGCACCATAGATATAATTCCCATGTGCTTGGTGATCAGAATACTACGTTTGTATTTATAAAAGGCATATAGTATCATTGCACCCACACTGGTGGTACATATTTACATGTTCTTGGTGTAATTCAAGATTTCAGAGATATGGCACGTTAATTATATTACATTCTTTTGGTCTTGTTTTTCCCCTTCTCTTTTGGGGTGGGAATTTTGGTAGTTTTTTGTCATCCTTGGACATCGTTTGGACTCTTTCTTCCTAGAAATATGGTAGAGGTTGAAACACGTCGTGGTACGAAAAAAGATTATGTGTCAAAGGGTCATTGCAATTGGTGTATGACTGTTTTTGATAGGGTCTTAGTTACTCATACTACTAGTCGGATAAGACAGTGCTGCCCTTCCATGAGTCAATTCTTGAATATTTGAAATGCTAACCATACTTGGGGGTCATTCCTACTATCATCTCTTTGAAGGCTCATAAGATTTGGCATATTATCTCTAATTGTATCTCAGTTTGGGTTTTATAACTAAAATGAAATCTATGGACTCTGTTGATTATTTTTTGTTTACTCTAATGTTTATGCATATCAAGTGTTGAATTTCCTTTTTAAACTTGAACCATTGCCATGCCAACTTGATGCACTTTTTATGGGGATGACTAAGAGATGATCTATGATTTACTTTCAGATTTCTCATCAACAGAGACCAATGCATGGATATGGATTGGGTTCAAGTTCCTTTGGTGGACGCTATCCTCCTGGTAGTTCTTATCAGAGCTCAAACTCTGGTGGTGCTTCATATTCATTTGGTAATGACCAGAACCGACCAAATGTTGACAAGGCCAGAAGAAGAGAGAGGGACTGGGATTCAGTTTCCACTTATAATAATTCACATGATATCTTCAATGACCGCAATCACGGACCAAGGGCTTCGAAGATGAAGGGAAAGAGTACTTCCGACCAGGGTTCTTCATCTAGTGTTAGGAAAATGGATCTATCTGCTTCTGGAATTAACCTTGATTCATTGAACCGGCTAGATTTTGTCACAGAATATGAGGATGCAAAATTCTTTATCATTAAGTCTTTCAGTGAGGACAATGTTCACAAAAGTATTAAATACAATGTTTGGGCTAGCACGCCTCATGGAAACAAGAAACTTGATGCTGCTTATCATGAGGCAAAGAAAAAAGGCAGCTGTGCAGTCTTCCTATTCTTTTCGGTATGCTTCTTTGATAACTTTTAGAATCTGTCCCTATCTTCCTACCTGTTTGAGCAACAGGGCTGAGGGGGTCCTAGTTGAAAGTGGGTGGGTATATGATTGGTATCGGCGTCACAAAGCATTAGGTAGAATGATTGGGTGTTGGTGCCCATAAGATCCAGGTGATAACTAAAAGTTTTAAGTGGCAATCTCTCTTTGAGATTCATTCAGTAATATAAACCATGCAAATTTCCGTATATGTCATTCCTTGGACCTAATAACTGTTTGCTAAAATGCTTTTGTGGTTTCAAGTGGTCATTTTTCTTTGTTCACCTTTTTTCTTTTAGGTGTAGTCAACTAATCCTGCTACAGAATATTGTTATGTATTCCTACTAGACGAAGGGAATAAACTGACTTTCATGTTCTTTTCTGTAGAAACACTATAGGTGCTTACAAGAAATTTGTTGCTTGTGATAAAGTTATTCTATATTTGTTGGTGATATGATCTAAACTATATGCTCTTTAGTTTTGGAAGTCCTCTTAGATTTTGTTGGTTACAACTCACTACAGGTTAATGCTAGCGGACAGTTTTGTGGAGTAGCGGAAATGGTGGGACCTGTAGATTTTGAGAAGGATGCTGATTACTGGCAGCAAGATAGGTGGAGTGGGCAATTTCCGGTTCAGTGGCATATTGTAAAGGATGTTCCTAACATTCGGTTCCGTCACATTCTACTTGAAAATAATGATAATAAGCCTGTCACGCACAGCCGAGATTGTCAGGAGGTAGCTTATCTTTCTCCATCTTTGTCACTTTCATTAAAATTCCATTTTCATTTACAAACAAAAAAAGTTTAGATTTGGTGTTCAATTATGCATGGTCAATAATTATTTGGTATTTGTGGCCACTATGACCCTAGAGAAGCCCTAGGATACCGGATTTGTGATTTGTGATTTTCAACTATGCATGGTCGTTTATTATTTTATTTGTGATTTTAAGATTAGATCACTAGACTGGAATTTTGTATACTTCATGTTCATTCTTAAAGCATGATGTATTGCATGACGTTTTCTTGAGTTTTATTTAGGAGTTGCCTTGTCCTCTCAAAACCTTTCAAATGGGTGAGCCATGTTGGGTTTGTCTTGTCCAAATAATAAACATGCCAAGTTTGAATTGGAGTTGAGAAGGCTTATTTGAACCCATTTAGAATCTAGATGTAATCGAGCACCCTTAGGTCTTAACTAATGGGTCAACCATAAAAAATTACTTTCCAAACTATTCTTTGTTTATCCATTATTTCTCTATGGGTTACATGTGGTTTAAAATCTCTCTTGTATGAAGTGATCGAAATATTAATCTTGTGTGTAGACAGTTCACATGTATTGCATTCAATCTATTTCCTTTTACCTTATTGTCTTAGTTTAAGTTTGGCTCTTATGTTGCTTTCAAATAAAAAAAGTTTGGTTCTTATGCGGATTCAGAGCTTACATCTGACTTACATTTTATTTCTTGATGGTGAAATATTCTTAGGTGAATCTCAAACAAGGTATTGAGCTGTTGAAAATTTTCAATGATTTTGATGCACGAACATCTATTATAGATGATTTTGAATTTTATGATGAGCGGGAAAAATCCTTGAAGGAAAGGAAAGTTAAACAAGAAGCTAGTTCAACTACAGATGCTTCTGATTCAGTTGCCGTTGATTCTGTTAATGAAATTTCCAATAGTTTTGATCAAGCCCTGGAGTTGAAAGGAAGTAGTAGCAAAGTAGTAGCAGAAACTGAACATGACATTAGCTCAAAAACAGATTCTGCGTCAGTTATACTTGAACATGTTTCCTCCGTGGACCAAATATCTGATAACTTATCTCAAGTATTGCAGTTGGAAGAGGGTGACAAAGAATTAGCTCTGTCATCTGAAAGTAGTAAAGGTGTAGACGACGGCAAGTCAATTGACAGGAAGGCAACAGTAGTATCAACTACTAGTGCTTAGGCATTTTAGGCATGCATGCGGCGACAACAGTGTACTTTTGTGATGTTTAAGAGTAGTTCACTCACTGGCAAAGTGTGAGGTGGTAATTTTGTCATCTCAAGCAGTCAGGATGCAAGCTGACTCCGGTTTTAACCTTTTTATCTTTTCCAGAGAAATTAGGCGGTACTCCGAGCAGGCATGCCTGGCAGGAAGGCTGTTTGATTTTGTATTTGAAGCTCATTTTGTGTTTCTCCTCGTTGTAGGGTTAGAATTAGGTTGTTGGTTTTGGCGATGTGGTGAATGCAATGCAGGTTGTATCCGTTAACTATTGTCCGCCTGTCCGTCTGAGATGCCTTTTAGTGGTTGTAATTTTAGGGTTGTCTTACTGGTTTTCTGCTGGTGGCTCGACTGGGTAACGGAGGAAGAAGAATCTGTCGTGTTACCCCTCCATTTGGATTTGGGATTGGGAGGTTGATCAATCGATAAAAGAATGAATGAATTCAGAAAATGCATTTACTGTTACACAAGATTTCTTTTTTCATTATCTGACCCATGTGTGGAGAATGCTTAAAACAAACCGTGTGGGATTTAATGGTTTGGTCTTTGGTGATCTGGTAACATACTGAACATGCTTGATAATAGTCGTACCAACTAGACTCGAGCAAAATGACTCATGGGTCCCACCATGAAGACAAGTTGAAGAAATTAGAATCCCACTACATGTACTCAAGGAGAACAACTTAAATAACATTGGTATCTACCGCCATGTGGCGTTCTATGCTAATAAAATAAAGACGTGAACAAAAACTTCTTACACGCCTTTATTTCATTGGGACAGAATGCAACCGTGAGTTCTTCTCCCAAGTGGAGACTCAAAACTCACCAAATCAGTAGCAAATAAACAGTTCTCAAACGGGTGAGTTAAACAGGGAGAAAATGTGGAAACCTCCAAAATCTATAGCAGCATCTGGTAACAAAAATTACATCCATAAAATGTGTGAATACAATAGCCATTCTATTCTTCTGGTTACAGCCAAACAAACAAGGAACCTCTCCCTCCTGTATAATAAATTGATTCATTCTACCCCTATACTATTATACATACGTACACGAGTAGACAAGCAACCGATACAAACAACACTCTCGGTGATATTCGACCAAATACTGGCTCTGTTTCTTTTAGTTACAACATCAAAACCACAGCCGAGAAAAGGTCAAGGAGAACGAACACAAGTTAATACACTATTGATTCTTCAGGGAACTCCCCCACAGCTCAAACTATTAATGTATTTGGACACTCAAGAAACTAGACGCTGAAACTTCCAATATTCGAGCAGGCACCGTGACTTCTCAAAACCAGACAGCCATGTAATAAGGCTGTGCAGAACAACAAAAGAGGACCAAACTTGCTTGTACAATCTGTAATTCAAGACTGATTAACGTAAAGGACGGGGACCAGCCCAGCCATTTTTCCATCCCTCCCAGGGCGTTTCTTCTTCACCTGTAATGAGTGAAAATGCACATTAGCAACAGCCATGAATACAATATCTTGCCTCACCAGCAAGCCAACATCCCTTCAAAGAGTAACTAGGGAGAAAAATTGCTCCATTGAAAATCTGATGAAGCAAATTGTTTTTTTTTTTTTTTTTTTTTAATTTTTGTCTGGGACAGAAAAGAGTGATTTACTTGCTTTCCAGATATAGGAGTACAGAAACACAAAAACGAATTTTCCTTTTTCTTTTAGTCTTTATTTTATCCTATTCTCTCTGTACACTTACATAAAACCAGCCATCCACTTCGTACTCTATTACAACCTCTTCTCCTGCTGTTAAATTTAGCTGCATGGACAGAAAACTCAGGTCAATCACCTCCATATTTCCTTTGAAACTGCTCAAAATGTCTTACTGAAAAGACGGCAATAGTAGATGCATCAAAAACAAGAAACTTAATCCAGTAAACTTATGTATCATTTCACACAATGCTTGCTGTAACGTTAGGAATGATACACCCTTAGGTCATAAAACACAACTTTAAGGCCAAGACTAAATCACTACGAGTTCACTTACCTCATCATCTCCACCAGCAGTGAAGTCATAAAGTGCCGTTCCATTTTGAGGATTTCCAGAAGAAGTACGTTCGTCATCTTCAGATCCAAAACTCTGGGATCCACGCCCAGCTAACGGATTCTCGAATGACTCGTATCTTTGTGTGGCAGGTGATGAGTATGGCGGAGGCTCTTCTCTAATCTGGAAAGAAATAGGAGAATTACAATTCTGACAGAATCATAAGGGGAAAAAATAGCTAGAAGAGAGGCCACGAGCACTAACTGGAGATCCTAAACCCTCACTGAATGAGGGACCCCCTGTAGATGGATTGCTAAATCTGCTCCCTCCAGACCTCTCCTGTTACAAATGATTAATTCAACAAAAAACTAAATCCGAAATACTAGGAGATATAGAGTATGTTTTAAGTACAAATATATAATCACCCAGTAATTTTCTGGACATCAATCAGGCAATATGTTAGTTTGGGTGAAGAACATATTTGATCTTAGTTCTTATAAATCAGAATTGTCAATCAACCCTTTGCGAGACACACTATGTCAGAGAATGATCCTAATCACTAATCCTCAGTTTTGATTTTTCAGACACAAAAAGTACAAATTTAGAACTCAGGTGCTTCTTTTGTTTTGTTCTTGAAAAATCAAAAGCACATTTTTGTACAGATTATAACATTATACAACTGATCAAACGTTCATGTACACATTTTAACCACATATCTAGGATTGCTTACATGCCTCATATCTAGACAATATTTAAATCAATTCTTCATGAGCTCCAATTACCATTTCATACTATGTGCACTAGCTGTGGTCCATCATACTCCACCAAAACACCGCAAACTAATAAATTTTAGTAGAATTTGAAAAAATTGTCAAGCAAAAGAAATTTTACAAATTAAAAAAGCTAATTGGTCCAGACTCTCCCTAATCCATTTCTCTCCCCCTCCTCCATTAGTTTCCAAGACAAAAAGAACTGTCTATCAGATTAGGTCACCAAGATTATCAAGAATTGCTCAAACACAGTTTATGAGGCAGAGGGGTAAATGTGAAAAGTGAATAATTCAATATTACACTCCCCCAGCCTGATTCAAAAATTAAATCTTAAAGACAAAGGCTACACTTCCATGGAGTCAAGATTGTAACAATTTCATGGTATGTATATAGTCGGTACCAACAAAAAACAGAACAACAAATTTAGCATAAATTTACTAATGACCCTTCTTAGCATATGGTGATTACTGCAAGATCACTTAAAGTATCTTGCCAACCTTTTATTTGCCCAGTTTTTATTGTTTAAAACTTAAGAACTAGGCACTTCATTAAAGTTCTAAAGCCTAAAAAACCAATCCTAGTACAATTGTACTAGCACATTGGCAAATGCAAACAAAGAAGTAGAAGTTTATAAAAGAAACCAAAATAAAACTTTAACTTGACCAATGCATCTCATACCGGTCGTGAACTGAAAAGTGAAGGGTAGTTCATTCCACCAAAGTGAGATGATATCGAAGTTTCAACTGATCCTGTTGATTCTGGGGAAGATGTCCCAGATGACCTCGCATCATCCTCCTACATGCCAAAAGAATAATCAGCAACAACCTCCTCATTCTATACATGAAAACTCCACCTCTATTACATTTCATGAAATGCCATATGAGGAACGTTATGTAATACACATACCTCCAGCTCTGAACTCTCTAAAAGGGTCTTTGCCCACAAATCATCATAACTAACTGAAGGCCTCGAGATTATGTTTTCTTCATCAACATCAGGAGCATCAGTTCCAGCACCAGCAAGAAATTCATTAACCTAACAGGAAGTAGAAGTGAAATGATCATCCATTCAAAATGGATCAAGTTATAGTTATACTGTAAGCCAACGGTGCATGCAAGTTAAATACAAAATTAATGATAATTGAGCCCAAATTCCTATTTTCTATATGAAGAGCTTGAATCAATACTTAAAAGCTCTGAAAAATATCATTTAGCTGACAAATACACATGGACCGTACTACAGGAAAAGGGATACCCTTACAAAGCTTAGACAGGGATGCCCAGAATAGCTAGGAATAAAATTACGTGCCACAATGAAGCCAACTCTTCTTTCTATCATCAAAGATTTTTTTATTCCTTTCCACCACAACACTCAAATAGAGGTCAATACAGCACAGTAGCAGTTCTTCTAAACTCCTTCCCTAAGAAAAACCATTCCGCAAGAACTGGAAGTACCCACTCCAAACAAGAAGTCAGAAGTAACAAACCATACATTTCGGAAGTGAAGAAGAAATGTAAAAGAAGAATATACAGTTGGAAGATTCATCGACACGACTGCTCAGACGCACCACTGAAGAGATTATGAAGCTTAGGACCTTTCCCTTTCGAGCCATATCACAGGTATTGATTTTACCATCAAACAGATAAGCAAGAAATAGAAATTTTAGTAGGCACCCAAAACTTTCAAATTACTTTGTAGAGAACAAAGGTGGGAAAGTTTGGATTAGCAATTAACCAAAGAGAACAAAGATGGGAAAGTTTGGATTAGCAATTAACCAAAAAGACATACAAGAAAATGCCTCATGTCACTGAATAATTAAAGTCTTAAGAAAATGCCTCATGTCACTGAATAATCAAAGTCTCAAGTCTTTGAGCAAGATAAAGACATCAAATCATAAAATTTTACAAATTCCCTCTCTTAAACTCCAGCTGAAAGCTAGATAATAAGATACAACATGGGAAGGATCTTTTTTGAGTTTTGAAAGGTGCTAGGCACTAGTCGGGCGACGGGCAGGAGCCTAACGCCTAGGTGTCTAGGCGGTTTTTTTTTTAATTTTAATTATAGGTTTTTTAGCCAAAATGGTCCCTGAGATTTGCACAACTCCTCACTTTAGTCCCTGAGATTTGAAATCAATAGAATTGGTCACTGAGTTTGTCCACCATCAATCATTTTGGTCATTCCGTGAAAAATCTTCATTAAATAAGAATAAAATGACCAAAATACCCTTAGTTTTTGTCAAATCATTTTGGCCTATTGTTTATTAAATTGAGGGTACATTTGTCATTTTGGTCCTTATTTAACATAATTTTGCATGGAAAGACCAAAATGATTGATGATAGACGATCTCAGGGACCACTTCTATTGATTTCAAATCTCAGGAACCAAAGTGATGTGTTATGCAAATATCATGGACCATTTTGGCTAAAAAGCCTTTCTTATATCACAATCACATATAAATAAATGTCTACTTATACTTAAAAAAATACATAATTGTATTGGGATACATAAATTGCAAAATAGAATTACATATGGTTTATGAAGTATTAGAATATATTGAAAACATGGGGCACAAGTATAATGAGAGTTCATCCAAGTATTCAACAAGTCTCTTACTATTAACTGGAAAACAAAGTGTAAAATAATATTTTCTGTCTAAGTGAGAGTCGCAACCTAGGCGGGCGCCTAAGCAGGGCGGTGGCCCGCTGCCTAGCGCCTAGGCAGGCCTAGGCAACGCTAGGCGGGGATTTTAAGAACAAATAATCTAGAGACCTCCCAAATCTAAATTATATAAATACTGGTAGTTTCAAATTCAGCGTGTGTAAAGCGGCATAAGAGTAAAATGCCAATAAATGTCCCACTTTCATTACGACCAATGCACTTAAAAAACAATTTCACCGTGATAGTATTCTAAAGACAAACCAAATGTTTAACTTTAATGTTAAAGCAATTAAATCTATTACCCTGCTCATTGCCGGTGCATTGTTTCCTAGCAGTCCATCATCACCAAGGTTAGCTGCCCAAGCATTTACAAGGTCATCATCAAGCACATCAGGTTCTTCAGCTGTTGGTTTGGAATCATACATAAGATCAGAAATCCCGGTAGCAACCGCTGGATCACTTAAACCAGCTGACGCACTAATATTGTGCCGCGTGCGGTAGATGTCAATCAGTTTTGCACTGTCATAAGATTGCAAACGGGAATTAAATAAGAAATAAGGGTAGAAATAAGGTGAAACCATATGGACAAGTAATCACACTCATATATATATGAATCCTCTCATAAAATTTTAGATCAAACAATTATTGAGTCATTCACACAAAGAAATGATTTGTGCATAGAAAATAGTTGTAAATTACCCTCACTCTTGAATAATGCTTACACTCCTTAGAATGCTTAGTCAAGGATCATACTAAAATTTTCTTCTATATTCACCTCATAAGTATATGGATAACTAGTTTCTTAGTTACTTAACTATATAAATAATATCCTAATTGTATCATGCTAAATACTTTATTTAAGATTAAAAGGTTTCACAACAGAAATTTTTTGCATGTATACATTTTTTTCTGATGCTTCCACCAATTTCTTCAAAACTTGGACTACAAATATTTCCACCAACATCGACAACAACCTTGGTTAATTGGCATGCCAGTTTTGCATGAGAAGA